TTGGACACCACCATAAAAGATGTATCAACACCATCCCTTTCAAGCTCATCAAGTATTCTTTCGCCATGCGAGTCATCAGCAACCTTAGATATGATCCTTGGATTAAGACCAAGACGAATTTTATCATCCGGGTTTTATCAAAGCATTGCCAGTGTTACCACCTCCTTGAACCTCAAAGCTGGTGCTCCGAATTTTATCATCCGGGTTGGGGAATGAAGCTACAGCAGCCAGGAAGTCAACACCGACCATTCCAACACCTCAGACAATGCGATTTTTGGGGAGCGGCGGATTCCACATTTTCAGCTTGAAACTTCAATGAATTTCAGGTAGAATAACAGAGTTTTTGAAGTTGTGCACCAAGTAGTTGTGGTCAGAGAGAGAGAGAGAGATGGGAAGGATATTTGTGGTCAATATGGAAGGGAGGACTTACAAGTGCAAATTCTACATCACGCCATCTACAACTGCTATTTACCATAGGAGGGTTCGCCGACCTGCTGCCCTCTCTGCTTCGCCGGAACCAAAAACCACCGGTGAAGGCCCCAACCTCGCCGGATCTGTTGCTGCACCGCCAGATCTGCCTTACTGATCCGTCCCGGAAGGAGTTACTGCCTCGTATGCTCGCTGCCGTACCCACAACTCGCCGGAGAAGAACCTCGCTGCTACTCACTACTGACGGTTACTACTTAGCCGCCAAGTCTCGCCATCTCGCCTCACAGGAGTCACAGCAACGCTTGTCTAAACAAGATTAGAAGAATAAGACATAAAAAGACAGAAAAGCCCTTCTAATTCATGGTCAACAAACGGCTTCATTGACGGAGGATCAAAACTGTCCAACGACCAATAACAGTGTCTACTAAGTGACAATTTTTATTATGCTGGATGAAAAGTGTCAATGCCTCAATAAGTCTAGGACCAAAAATGGCATTAACTCCGGAATACAATACAAGAATATTTAATTATGGTTATATTATTATTGTGCCTCACGACCATTATATACTAACAATACTTGAAAAGAAACTAATAATAATAATAATATAAGTGGTAATAATAATATCTAAAAGTAATTAAGTGTTAATAATAATAACACTATATAATATTTGATGTTATAATTTATATAATTATATATATAATCTTATACTTGTCATAATTCGATCATATATTCGGGTTGTATAATCTGGACCCCCGGGTTCATATAATCCATCAATATATCGTTCCAAATATTCTTAAAATATTATAGTAAATTCATTCCGTGCATCGCACGGGTGAAAATACTAGTTCTAATAAGAGCCAATAATGTTAGGCCCTTAACTGGAACAAAAAAAAATGTCGGTCCTATTGTTTCTTAAAATGAATTGTTCATATTATACTATTGTTTCTTAAAATAAATAGTTCATATTATTTTTATTTCAATATTTTTTATTGATTTTCCTTATTTACCCTCTATTATATTATTTTCTTCTCTTAAATAATCTAAATTCCGTTAGTATAAACTTTAATAACGGAATATTCCGTTAACTATTTATTATTTTAACTTACACATTAATTTCTATAAGAAAAGCCTTAGTTTCAAACCACATCCCAATGAGAGGCATAATTGTTAAACATATACTAGGTATATGTTAAAATATATATAATGTAAAATTTAACATAAAATTTGTTCAAATAATTAGTATGACTAAATACATAACATTCAAAATTAACATCAAAGATTATAAATCAAGAACTTTAAAAATCATTTGATTTTTATGCATTTAAAAAAAAAAACATATTTAAGTTAGGTTTTTTTTTTTTTTTGGTTTAATTAATCTTCTTTTGATTATTTAGATCATAAAAAAAAACTTAATATTTCAATTATACTTTTGCATTATTGGTATGATTTAGGTCGTTATGGTGTTAATATTTTTTGTATGTATTTTTATAATGGTACAATTATTGTATATTACTTTATAAATATTATACTATTATTTTTTTATCGGACAAAATTGTTCTTACATCACTGTTAGTCCTGCGCAACCTAACTACAAAATTGTTGATCATAAATACAATTACACCTGGAATCTAAAACGGTAGGATCATTTTCTAACGAATGACAATGCTGACATCCCGCTGGCTCTAATTAAACAAGTTTAAACATAAGAATTTTATCAATGCATGAAAACTTCTAAAGAAATTTGTAAGTTAATTTTTACTGTATTATTATAACAATATCTATTGTAACTATATATTTTAAATTATTTATTATATCCTATATTGACAGGAATTGTAACAGTTGTCACTGACACACTCTCAAAACAATTTGTCTCAACAACGAATGTAAATTAAAAAAAAAATCAATGATTGCGTTATTGTTGATGAAAAGTATGTACGCCACTTTATTACTCTTATTAAACTACATAAAGTAGTAGCTACAACAAAAAATAATACATATGCATTTAATTAATTTAAAATTAGATGTCTATAATGCCTTTATTTAAAAAAAAAAAAAGTATTCATTATAAAAAATTTAAAAATAGATATAATTTCATTAGTTATATTATCTTATTTTCTACAATTCAAAGATTCATTACCTTCAAATTTATTAATTTATTATATTCACTGCATTGTCCATTGTCTTCTTTCTACATTACATTGTAATTAAATATCAAAGTTATAATACAAAATACATTATATATATTTATTTACCAAGTATTTTATACAAATATAATAAATATTAATATTTTGTCCAATACTTTCACATGATAACCTACGACACACATCTCACAATGCATGAAACATGTAGGGGAAAGCTACCACTACCAAATATCGATTAAAAAATTCGATAAATATTATCTTGCATTTATATATTTTGAATTACCGATTTAAATAAACAAATTCAATATTTATTTACATATGCATGAACATCTCCGATATAATATTGCGTTGATATACTTTGAAATACTTATTTAAAAATAATCATTGGGCATTATCCCATTCGCGCAAAGCGCGTAAAAAAACTAGTATATATATATATATATATATATATATATATATATATATATATATAACTTAATTGTTTCTAATATTGTCAATAGTTTGCAATACGTACAATTACATATAACATATTTAGTTATATTTGGTATTATCGCTACAGTAAAAAAATGTTCATTATTATATAAAGATTATGATAATTTAAAGGGATGTTCTTTCAACTAAAAGTCGCATAATTATACAATCTCACATGGCCTCCACAAGAATTGTGGAGTGATACTTAAGTTGGGACTAAATCTCCATTCATGAGCTAGCTTTTGTGGTGCAATTAGAATCTTGGTTTGAGTACCGTATCACATACACTAATAGTTAGATTATACATTTATATATTATACTCCATGTGTGTGGGCCAAATACTTTTGAACAATGACTTTCCGTTCATGTCTGGTTCTAATACAAATTGAAGATTTTATTCTGTTTCGATTAAAAATTTAAATTGATAGTTGAGGATGCATTTATTATATGTTGAATTTTTTTGTATTATGAATTGTAAATAATTAACTTATAATTTATTTTAGGTACTCGAATGTAAATGTAAAAGTATTTATAAAATTATAAGGGATAATGTTACACGCACTCAAATTTTACATTATTAAATTATTAACATTAAAGTGGTTTGCCTAGAAGTTCCACAACGTCATCTCTCTCTAGAAGTTCTCTCTAGGGTTTTGCCTTCTTGCTAGGGTTTCTCCTAGGGTTTCGAAAATTTCCTTGCTTTCTCTTCGTCGATTCACGGGCGAAAGTTACTGCTGGGAGAGTAACGACGGCGAGGGCGTACGGTAGAAGGCAGCGACGAACGGACAGATGGACCCGGCGGTGCATGAGATTGACGAGGAACCACCGGTGCTCGAACGGGCGGATGAAGTCATCGAGCGCTTAACACAGCGTTGGGGCGATATAGCGCTGGAGGAGGAAGAGGAGATCGGCTTTCAGCCGGTGGGGGAAGGCGTTGGAGTAGCGGCGGAGGAGGAGGAACGGCGGTGGGTGTGTGTTGGCAGATTTTTGACAACAAAGGTGATGAAGTTGGAGTACATGCGGCAGGTGATGGCCTCGGTTTGGCAACCGGTGTGGGGTATGCAGGTTACGGAGACTCAACCGGGGTTGTTTATGTTCATCTTTTATGATGAAACGGATATGCGGAGGGTCCTCAATGAAGGGCCGTGGTCTTTTGATAATAGCACCCTCGTTTGTAAACAAGTGGAATCGGGTACAAGGCCGGCAGCGGTTGAATTAAACTCGGTGGATATGTGGGTACAGCTTTATGACTTACCGTTGGGATATACATCGGAATCGGTTCTTGAGCAAGCGGCCAATTTTATTGGTACATGTGTAAAAGTTGATGATCGTTATCTGGGTGCACCATGGAAGACGTTTCACCGGGTCCGTGTGTCAATACCGGTGGATAAGCCGCTAAAACGGAGGATGAAACTTATTAAGCGGGATAAGACAAGCTGCTGGGTAAATTTCCGCTACGAACGCTTACATAATTTTTGCTTTTATTGTGGTTTACTGGGGCATGCCTATAAATTTTGTAAGCTGGCAAGGAAATCAGGACTCACTGCGGATAAATTCCCATATACGGCGGACCTGAAGGCGGGGGGAGGTAGCCGGGGGCCAAGACAAGTGGGGGATCCATGGTTGATACAGCTAGATGGGAAGGGGAAAAGTGTGATGAGAAGGGAGGGGAAGATGGGGGATACGGCATTGGGTGATGGTGCGGGAGGAGGGGGTGTACGGGTTGGGGAAGAGAAGGCGGGTGAGGGGGTGGTGGTAGCGGCCTCTAAGAGAAGGAGGGGGGATGGGGTGGATGGTGGCAGTATAAGGATGGATGCAGGAGATGTGGTGATGTCTGAGTTCTCAAAAAACGGATTTACGGCGGGTCCTGGTGGTCAGGCCCGCCCATCTCAATGAGTACAATAAGCTGGAACTGTCGTGGCTTGGGCAATCCACAGACAGTTCGTGAAGTGGTGGACATGGTGTCCCGTAAGAAGCCCGATTTCGTCTACTTAATGGAAACAAAAGTAGATCAGAGTCATGCAGAAAGACTACGAGTAAAGATTGGTTTTGAGGGTCTGTTTTATGTGGATCCGGATAGGAGAGGGGGTGGCTTAGCATTATTATGGAAAAAGAATAATACTGCTAGGCTGTTGAGTTATTCAAAGAATTATGTGGATGTGGAGGTAGCTATAAGGGAGAAAGTATGGCGAATGACATGTTTCTATGGGTTCTCACAGAGGCATAGACGCAGGGAGGCATGGCAATTGTTGAGTGGTTTAAGGGATAAGTCTACACTGCCCTGGGTGGCTTTGGGAGACTTTAATGATTTGTTATATCAGCGCGAAAAGAAAGGGGGGAATCCTCACCCGGATAGTCTGCTGAGAGGCTTTGGAGATGCTGTATACAATTGTGGGCTAGTCCAATTGCCAATGCGAGGTCACCAGTTTACATGGGAGAAGGGGAAAGGGACTGATAGGTGGATGGAGGAAAGGCTGGATAAGGTGTTGGTGTCTACACGATGGACTACTATGCATACTGAGGTGTGGGTCGAAAATATTCTAACCCGAAAATCTGATCACTCTGCTCTCTTCCTGATATTGTCCAGGGCCGCAGACATGGGGGACCGAAACGATTTCTCTTTGAGATGGCATGGGTTCATGATGACGGTTGTCGGGGGGTGGTGGAGACTGCCTGGCAGGATAGTAGGGATAAGGGGCTGTTGATTTGTCAGCAGCATTGTGGAGGAAGGCTAATGCGGTGGGGTGGGGAGCATTGTCATAAGTTTGGTGACCGCATAAAGCAATTGAGGAAAGAGCAAGATGAGCTGCGTCACAGACGAGATTCGGCTGCGTTGGCCGAGTTTCGCGATATTGAGGAAAGACTGGGACAGTTGGAGATGCAGGAGGATGTATTTTGGAGGCAGCGGGCGAAGCAGCACTGGCTGCATGGTGCGGACTGCAATACCAAATTCTATCACAGGTACGCTTCCGCTCGTAGAAGGAAAAATTATATTCCTAGATTAAAAAATGATGTGGGTGCATGGGTGGAGGGGGATAATATGAGGAAAGTTGTCTTGGAGTATTATGCTGCTATTTTTACATCGTCAAACACTGAATGTGAGGATCCCATGCTTGATAATTTTGCCCCCCGTGTGACTAGTGAGCAGAACACTATGCTCCTTCGCCAGTTTGAATTAGAGGAGGTCAGGAGTGCTTTATTTGCAATGTTCCCTGACAAAGCACCAGGACCAGATGGTATGAACCCTGGGTTCTACCAGGAATATTGGGATATTGTAGGGGGAGATGTGTCTGAATTTATTGTGAATTGCTTAAACTCAGGCTCGCTGCCTGAGGGATTGAATGATACTAATGTGGTTTTAATTCCGAAGAAAGATGTGCCTGAGACAGTAGCTGATATGAGACCAATAGCACTGAGTAATGTTCTGTACAGAATCATGGCGAAGGTAATAGCCAATAGGATGAAACCACTTATGGGGAACCTCATCTCAGAGGCCCAGAGTGCTTTTATTCCTGAGAGACTTATTACTGATAATATTTTAATAGCTGCAGAGGTGGGGCATTACTTAAATAGAAAGCAGTGTGGTAGGAAAGGGTGGGCGGCATTGAAGTTGGATATGGCCAAGGCATATGATAGGATGGAATGGCGGTTTTTGAGAAGGATGTTGGAGGTAATGGGTTTTGATGACCAGTGGATTAATTTGTTAATGCAGTGTGTTACTACTGTCCAGTATAACATCCTGATTAATGGTGTTAATAGTGGGGGTGTAACGCCAACCAGGGGACTGCGACAGGGAGATCCTTTGTCTCCATATTTATTTCTCATATGTGCTGAAGGGTTAATCTACGTTGTTGCAAAGAGCGCAAATGGCTGGCTTAATACATGGCTGCAGAGTTGCTAGGGGAGCCCCACAGATATTACATCTATTTTTTGCAGATGATAGCCTATTATTTTTTAAAGCAAATGATAGAGAGGCAGAAGTAATTAAACAGTGCCTGGGACGATATGAGGAGCTTTCAGGACAAAAGGTAAACTATCATAAGTCCAGTGTCTGTTTTAGCAGAAATACCAGTGTGGAGGATAGGGAAGTGGTGGCAAGTTGCTTACAGGTAAACCAGGCACCCAACTTTGGGAAATATCTGGGGTTACCATCTTTTGTGGGGAGAAAAAAGAGGGCAGTGTTCTCATATATTGAGGATAAGATAAAACAGAGAATAAGCTCATGGAACAAGAAATTTTTGACACAGGCAGGGAAGGAAATTCTATTGAAACGCGTGGCACAATCTATGCCTACCTTTTCAATGAGTGTCTTTTTGATTCCGGACACAGTGTGTTTATCATTCCAGAGAACAATGAACAAGTATTGGTGGGGCACTGGTATGGATAGAGGAATACACTGGAAAGCTTGGGATAAGTTGAGTATCCTAAAGAAATATGGAGGAATGGGATTTAAAGATCTCAAGAATTTTAATTTAGCAATGTTGGGAAAGCAGGCATGGCGCCTACTCACAAGTCCAGACACACTTGTTGCAAAAGTCTATAAGGCAAGGTACTATCCGAATACCACTTTTATTGATGCCAAGATAGGAGGATGCCCAAGCCACTCATGGAGAAGTATTATGGCAGTTCATGACATGGTGGTGGCACGGGTGGGCAGGAGGATAGGGGATGGTAAAACGACACTAATCTGGGGACACCCATGGTTACCTGATAATCCTAGCCCTTTGGTGCAGACTGATATGCCTGTAGAGCTCAGGCATGCTAAAGTGGTAGGTTTAATAGATGAACAAACTGCTACCGGGGACCCACATATTTTATCAGATTTATTTGATGAGGAGGATGTGAGTCGAATACTGAGGATACCTGTCAGTCCAGGATATGAGGACTCATGGTATTGGCCTGATGACCCCAATGGGGTATATACAGTTAAAAATGCTTACAGAAACATTATGGGTATTTATGATCACTCATCCGGGGATTTTGAGAAATGGACTAAAATGTGGGGAATGAAAATACCCCCAAAATGGAAGACTTTTTTATGGAGAGCAATTTGTGATATTCTTCCAACAACTAACAACTTGATTATAAAGAGGGTGGAAGTGGATCCCACATGCCAAATGTGTGGGCTAGCGCATGAGAATGTTATGCATACATTCATCAATTGTGATTATTCTAGACATGTTTGGAATATTTCAGGATTGCCAATAACAAATATTGTTGTCAACTCATTCCCTGAGTGGCTAACAATTGTGCTTACAATGTTCACAGAGGACCAAAGTGCAGCGGTGGTGGCATTGTTTTATCGCTTATGGAGGTGCAGAAATTCAGCTGTATGGGACGGCACATTGCCACGCCCTACGGCGGCTTGGAGGCAGGCCACGGCGGCACTGCACTCCTACCAGCAAGTGGTGCGCCGCGGCTCGGCATCCCTCACGGCAGCTACGGCGGATGGCAGCGGCGGCTCTACCCCACGATGTTATGTGGATGCGGGATACCGGGAAGACACGGGAGAGGCTACATACGGTATTGTGTTGCTGTCTCCGGAGGGATCTTTTCTTGCGGCAAAAAATGGAAGATTATCGAATTGCTTGTCACCATTTATGGCAGAGGCTTTGGCATGTAAGGAAGCTCTATCCTGGCTATTGGAAAAAAATATAACAACAGTATCCCTTCAAATAGACTGTTTACAGCTCAGGAATGCTATACGACAGAGATCAGATATCATAATGTCCTATGTTGGAGTAATAGTAGACCAATGTAGGAATTTAATTTCGTCTTTTAATTATGTCTTGTTTAATCATATTTCTAGGCAGATTAATGCGCATGCGCATACGTTAGCTTCGTTAGCTTTTGTTCAGGATCAAGCTATGTATTGGGATGTATCCCCCCAGACTGCACTGCAGCTTTGATTCATTAATACAATCATTCATTGGTTGGCTTTCAAAAAAACATTAAAGTGGTTTCGTTTGATTAATTTAATGCACAAATCATTAATGCACTATTTGATTAGTTTGACAAAATTTAAAGGTTCTCACTATTTCATTAGGTTAACATCATGTGTGTTGATGATTTGGATGTGACTTCATAATATCTTGTGGCTTATTATTATTACTAGTAAGTTTCCCGTGCGATGTACGGTCATTAAATATGGCCTCTTAATAATTTAAGATTACCGTATAATAGTACTAATAAAAAAATATTATTAAATAACAAATAATTTAAAAATTAACATTATTAAATAACAAATAGTTGTGGAGTTAGAAGTATTCAAAAGTAACAAATGTAGATATTTTAAAAATTAGTAGTGTAAAGAACTGTTGTAGTAAAAATTAGTAACAAATGTAGATATTGGGTCAAAATAGGGCTTCAATAATCTCTCTATGTCTGGAACTTTAAACTGCTGCATTGTTCTAGTTGAAGCACCTGCAATTTTGAGTATAAAGAGATATAACATATTGGATCAAAACAGTAAATATTTCTTCACATAGTGCATATAATATTTCAAAATGCAGCCTAGAAAACAAAACATGTTTTGTTCAGATTAAATCCAAATCCGATGAATATAAAATATTCTTAAATGTTTTTATTATGGAAAACCAATGTCCCTCTAGGAAAGTTTCTCCTTGTTAATGTTGTAACTCTTCCTTTCTTCACTGTCTGAGTCGAAGAAAATTGGTCCAATAGACTTCTTTTGGTCAAAGGACCAAATTCCTGCTCTCCTTCTTCGTTTGTTTGCTGTAAGGCATTGTTTGGAGAGTTAACTTCATCAGCTCCTGATGCATCCTGATAGATTATTATAAAAACAAAGTTAGGAACTTAAAACATAGTCAGTAAAATTGAGATATCAGATCATCTAGGTTTTAAATGGTAACTGTGTAGTATTACATTATCTGAGTCGTCATCCACATATTCTTCAAGTCTATCTCTTGATCAGCATCTAGTGATGAGCACTATGTAGCAACAATATTCTCATCATTTAAAATTCTCATGACAGGAAAATCATAGCCATAATTTTGCTTGTACATTTTTCTTTTTGATTGTAACCTTGAAAACCATTACCATTCCTACCATTGTAATTGCATTCTGAATTACTATTAGTAATAAATAGTAATGTATGTACTATACCCTATATAACACACAAAAAACAAAAAACAAAAACAAAAACAAAAAAAACAAAAAAACAAAAAAAAAAAACAAAACAAAACAAAAAAAAGAATAGTAAAAACGGAAACCTGCATATCCAAATGAGTAATACTATACAATCTGTATTAACCTTCACTCTTCGTCATAATTGTGCTTGTTGCTCCTCCACATAATTCAGGGATCTCATAAGTTCTTACCAAACGTTCCCGGATTACTCTCCTGGTGTGGAGAGGGCTAACTTGCGAAGCAAGGAGGTAGGTAATTGGGAGGGCATTTCAATCTGATTTCGCGGAGTTTGTTCCTGCAAAAAGTTTCGTTTGTGTGTACAATGCCAGATTAGTGCACTATTTATACTATATTTTTGGGTGCGCACATGTTCATATATGTATTTTGTATATGCATTAAGCATAATTGTTTGTTATTAATATCCTTAGGAGGTTAGAACAGTTTTCCATGCGTATTTTAAAAGTGAAACTGTGAGTATTCTGCAATTATTGTTATTCTGAGATTTTTATTTGAATTCTGATCTATTGGAGTGTAACAAATTAAAGTTTTAGTATTAAGAAATTATTATTATTTATACTGATGAATAGGCTCAACAATAAATAATAATCATTGTATTTTTGTTGTATTGAAAATAAATAAGCAACTGGAATTGAAAAACTCAACAGGCGTATTAAATATAAGATAATGTATTATATTGAAAATTGAAGAAAATATCTAAAACTGAACACATTAAATGTCACTAGCGCAAATGCTTTCCACATGAACCTGTATTTCTATGGAACACCACCGTTTCATTTGGGCGGGAAAACAACATGGCATAAACATTTTGCTATTATATATAGGCCATGTTTGGTAAAATGGCTGTTAGCTGATTGTGTTAATTAGAGGGTATAAATAGTTGATAACATTAGCTGATTGTAGAAAAGTGTTTGGTAAATTAGTTGTTAGCTGATAGCTGTTTGGTATAATTTCTTTTCTCAAAAAGCTAATTGAAAAAGTTGCTTGGAGTAACTTTTTGAATTTTAGCCATTTGGAGTTGCAAAAAGCTAATTAACCAAACATTTATATTGATAGTTTAACTAAATCAAACAATTAATAGTGGTCAAATAAGCCAAAATTGGCCTATAGGCCAATTTTTTACCAAACATGGCCATAGTAAGATTACTATTATTATTATTATCATTATCATTATCATTATCATTATCATTATCATTACAAATACAAAAATAAATTATTTTTTTAAAGAGAAAATTGTTGCCAGTAACTAGCTCTCCCCACTACCATAATGGTCCCAATCTAAGCAAGCAAAAAAAAAAAAAAAAAAAAAAAAAAAAAAAAATGACCTCCACAAAAAAAAAATAAAAATAAAAATAAAAAAATCCCTTCGGCCCTTCGCCTAGAGACGAATGCACTAACGTCTCCATCCCAGTGCAAGGACGATGCTTGCACAATGGCACCTTTGCCTTCGCCCCTAGGAAGGGTTGAAGGTGTCATTGTTTTCGTTCCTACCCAGGTAGGGATGAAGGAGGATGCCATTACAAATCTAATTTTTCTATTTTATATTTTTTTTATGTTAATAATAATAATAATAAACTTTCAAAATAATAATAATAATAATAATAATAATAATAATAATAATATCAATATTATTATTATTATTATTATTATTATTATTATTATTATTATTATTATTATTATTATTATTATTGGCATACAAATTATTTGTAACTTAATGTATACCTGTAATAACATGTCAAAATTTGGAGGGACTAAATCGAAGACTGGAGGGACTAAATTGACTAAAAATAATTATTTCACGGGACCAAATCGATAAATAAGCGATTGAGTGACTACATTAACAGTTCGCTAATAATTGAGGGACGTTGATTAACTCTTAATATAATTAAAGACCAAAAGTGGGATTATCAGAACTTTAAAGGGCTGAAGTGAGATTACAAAAGAATAAAACTTTCAATCATTACTTCTTCATTGTCCTACAGAAACCCATAAAAGACCAAATTTTCAAGACTTGAAAAGTCACAGCCAGCATAGCATCTTTGAATCTTCTTCAAAAAAAATAATAAACCCTCAAAATTTTTTCCTGATAAATGCAATGCAAAAAAATTTATTACTACACAAAAAAACTCTTAATAATATTTTGCTTGTTTTTGAAGTCAAAACGCCAAAGTCTTTCTGCTTTATAGGTAGTACCTAATTTTGTGTATCCCCTACGCGGTTTCAATCGGACTCGACTTCTGGGTTACGTTTAATTAGGTTGGACGCACTCGAAAGTTTCATTTTTGGCTGTCGTTTTTAACTCCTTCCCGATCGAGCTTATTCTGTGTCTGGGTGTTTTTCGGTTGACGAGGTTGTCTGTCTGTCATTTCTCAACTTGGTTTTTTGCTGAGTTGACTCGCTGGTTGGTTCAGGGAATTGTTCTTGGTTCAGTTTGATGTTTATTGATATTGGGTTGGTGAAAGAAATCTGGGTCTGCTTTTTGATGCTGAGGAAATGAAAGGGTACTTGGGATGGGTTGTGCTGTTTTTGGTTTTTCAGAATTTGGCCTTTTCTTGGTCTCTCAAGGATGAAGGTATGATGACAATTCTTGGTTTTGGAGAATCCTAGGATTTTTTTTTTTTTTTTTTTTTGGTTTTTGTTGTTTTTAAGGTTTGAGGTTGAGATGTTTGTGTTGTAGGTTTGGGCATGTTGAGATCCAAGGAGAAAGTGGGTACTGATCCATTTCAGGCTTTCATGGCTCTGTAAGCTTTTCTTCTGTCACTTATTTCCAGTTTTTTTTTTCACATTAATTATTAGCATTAAAATTGGAGTATTTATTTTATATTTTCCATTTTCTTGATTCTGTGATGCATATTTCTAGTCTTCCTAGGTGTATTGTGATTAGGGATTTATATAGATAAAACCAGAATTTTTTTTTTTTTGTCTGATTGAAATTCTAATGTTGTCCCATTATGAACCAATGATAGTTCAGAAGAACTGAGTTATGTATTTGGGATTAGTTTGGTTCAGTTGTAATGGTATCTTGTCTTAGGTTGTCTGTTTATAATGTCAATGTTCTTCTTGATTTTTAGGTTCTATAGTGGATGGATTTCATAGTTCTTACTATGGCATCTTGTTTGTTTTTGTTCTCGTAGGATAACGACGAAATTCAGGAGAATCGCTCCTAGAAAATTGATTGAAAAAATACCTATTCCCGGGAGGGAATTTCGAACTCCAGCTGCAGTAGCACCGGCACCAGAGCTTTCGCCTTCGCCTTCTCCATCTCCATCACCGAGCCTGCTTAGGCCATTTGCTGTACCTCCACCGCCTTTTGTTGGGCCAAAGATTGCCCCTTCCGAGCCTCCTCCTCCCGTTTCCTCGTTTTCCCCGGGATCAGTTCCTTCTCCTACTGCCACTCCTCGAAATGAGATAAAGAACTCAAAGAAGCATCACAAAATCTTGATAATGGCTGCAGTGCTCGGGGGTTCTGTTTTGCTTATAGTTTCCGCTATTGGCATAGTGTTCTGTCAGCGGAATAAGATGGCTGTTGTCAAGCCTTGGGCTACGGGAATTAGCGGGCAGCTGCAGAAAGCTTTTGTTACTGGTAAGTTCTCTTTGCATCCGTTATATAGTTATATAGTTATATACTTATATCAATCGATCTTGTGGTCTTGAAGCTTAAATGAACGCATTAGTTCCATCTTGTTCTTGTTCTTTAGTTGATCGAGATAAACGCAAAGCTCTTTAAGAACACCACTGAATC